TAGAATTGGCTCCAGCTTCATCATTCTTAATCTCATCATCCAAAGAACCTTCATCACCAACTTCAACTAGATCAGGAATATCCACTACATGTTCAACATAAATATCTACTAAATTATACCCTTTAGCATCTGAAACAAGCTCCAACAGGTCACCATCATTGTTTAGAGACACAAGTCCATGCTGAAATGATAGCTTTGGATGCTGATACCACAAACACTTGAACTTCATATATTCAACACTAAGGACCAAATTCTTAATGTCCTCATAGTTCACCCAACCAACATCAACAACTTCTTCCATCTCATAGACTAGACCCTCCACATACACTTTGACTTGGAAATATACAAACCTACCCCCATCCCCATGATTAATACATATCTTCAACTTTGGGTCATCACTTGGCATATGAATATCATAACGACAACAACCAAAAAGCCATAATTTATAAGACTTCTATTCAATAAAATAACCATCGAACAAAATTTTTTTTAATTTATATGACATGTTACATACCTGAAATAGTATTTCGAATTCTGCTCTTTGTCCTTCTCTGCCATGATCGAAATGATTTGAAGGAAGGAAAGAAAGAAGATGAATATTCGTGTTTGGGAAAGAAGAAAGCAAAAGAAATTTGAGAATTTCTGAAAATGTAATTTAATTAACATTTCCAAATTTACATTGCTATATAGGTGTTCTTTTGGCCACATCACTTAAAATTTTAACACATCAATGTTTTTGGAGGGAAAAATAGACTTTAGGACTAAAATTGCAACCAAAAGATAATGTAGCGACTCTTTTGTTCAATTTGAAAATAGAACAACCAATTTTGTAAGTTGATCAAAATGTAAGGACCAAAATTATCATTAAACCAAAAATAAATAACAAGATAAATAGAAAAATCTAAATAAAAATTTAAATAATATATAAAAATTAACTTAAATAATTTTTTTTGTCGTATAAATTAAGAGTTTTTATTTTTTGTCCTTGTGTTTTTTTTATAGAAATAATCCTTAAATGTAACCGTCTTTTTAATTCATAAAATTAAATATTTAAAAAAATTCAAAAGAAAATCTGTAAAAATCTCAAACTTTCTTACGAATTTTAATTTTAGAACCTAACTTTATCCAGAAAAAAAATACCCCGACGAAAAACAAAAATTCCACTTACATGACCAAAACACTATTTAACCCATAAAAATTTGACAATGAAAACATGTTTGCCCAGTTTATTAGTCCTCATCTTATATGTTCCACCCTGAAGCGTATAAGAATATAGCAGTTCAACTTCAATGTTTCAACCTTTCACTCTTCAACAGCACCAAATGTTTTCCAAAACTGAACAGGTTAGTTTATATCTTTCAGTCTTCAACAACACCAAATGCGTATTACCCTTTCCGCTATATTCTTTAAAATTTCTACTAATCTTCATAATTTCCGCTTAATTCTTGAAAATTTCTACCATTTTTCATCATTCCGCTTAATTCAATGTTTAGGGAAACCCCCAATTATTTTGATTAATATTTGATTGGTTAATGTTTGTGCATAAACGCAGCAAGAACGAAAGCAAAAGGGAGAATGGTTATCAGGAAGTTTCAAACCAGAGAATTTCATTCCAGGTCTTGTTATAGGTTTCATTTGTGGCTTGTTGATTGATTTAACAAAGCCAACTAGAAATCACTTGTCCAAGAAAATCTTCTCATCTAACAAGCTTCAACACCAACTCTCACTCTCAAGTAATGGTGATCAAGAACTTAAAATGGTTTGTTTATTTCATATTCAGTTTCTCATGCTATGCAGGCTTTAAAATAGTTGAATATAACTCCATGTGTGGTTACTTATTCAATATTGACACTGACACACATCAGACACCGAACATGCCTTCCGTACGAGGCTTCGAGTCTACATAGGTTGTAAACAAGTTATTGAAGTATCTGCCGGTCTGTTAGTGGCTCATTTAGTAGCTAGTTTAATGGAAATCTTGTTCTGCAATGTGCATTCTATATGAACTTCTTTCGTCGGATGTTGAGAAATTTCTGATTTCGACTGTAAAATGTTTGTGTCAGGTTCTGGTTGTTAGGCAAGACCTAAAGATGAGATCCGGAAAGATTGCGTCTCAATGTGCTCGTAAAATATGAAACTACATTTCAGTTTCTAGATCTGTTCTTTATCTCAAATTGTCTCGAGGGTCACTTTTTATTTATTAGTCACTATTTATTAACCCATTACAAACTTCTTTATTTGCACTAATATGTGCCATTACGTTCATCTGTTTTGTTTTTGCAGATGCTGCAACTGGCATGTATTCTGAGTTAACGCAAAGGTACTTATTAATAGCTCTTCCTACCAATCCACCCACCAAGGCACCAACACCGATTTCATGAGAAAACAGAATCACAAAATACTTTAATGTAATGTTTAAGATTGCTTTATAGTGCGAGCTTTCGAGCGAATTTTTATAAGCACTGTGTGATGGCCCTTTTTGCTTTTGATTATTCATAAGCAATAGGTTACTTGATTGCTCTCTTTTTCCGTGAGTTACCAAATGGGAAGATTGTATGTTTAGTTTTGAAGTTTCATATTGAACATGAAGATGGTGATTATTCAACATGAGTCATTTTGCTATGCTTCATGTCATGCTTATGTATTATGAATATTGAAGTTTGTTTAGGCGACATAATTTTTGGTCATTATCCCTATTGGCTAATAAACTCCATTGCTGAATACTTTTGCAGCAACAGGTCTCTTTTAAGACATTGGGAACAGTGCGGCCAGCCCAAAATTGTTGTGACTTGCAAGAACCAACAAGAAATGTAAGCAGATGATTTCATTTAGAGTACTGTAAATATGCTTCTGGTTTAGAGATCTACTTCCTGACCTGGCTTTTAATCAGGAATAAGCTAAAGGAAACAGCCGAGAGTGTTGGCCTCCCTACTTTTGTTGTCGCCGATGCTGGACGAACACAGGTAATAATGCTTGATATGTGGCTAGAAATATAGAACAATGCCCTTAAATATGCTATCGCGTAGTCAGAACATTGTAATATCTATCGCACTGTTGATATATATTCTCTGAACTAGTATCTATCCTCTTCAGGTTTCGGCAGGATCAAAGACTGTTCTTGCTGTTGGACCTGGTCAGCTTTGTATTGCTTTGTTCTTGACTTGGTTTATGTTGCTTTGTATTTCATGTATAACCAGTAGCACGTTCTAGAGCATCAAATTACATATGTATGACAGAACATTTGAATGTTACTTTTCGTTTCAGGTCCAAAAGAAATCGTGGATTCGGTGACCGGAAGGTTGGCTCTGCTATGACAGTATTCAAGAAACAAGCCATAATATGATAAATCTGCTAGGCTTTTTTACTGTATTGTCTGTGTTCCGGCACGCTATTTAGATTGTATTAATTGTAGGATCTGCTTACTAGGGATGAATAGAGCACTATTTTTGGATCTGTTTGTGAAACCTTTTGTTCCTTAGAAGGCAACAACTAGTCAATGTGAGTAACCTATAAGCGGTAAGATATTTGGGTATGATAATCCTGGATAACTTCGAAAAATCGTGTTCGTACACTTTCCGAACAAAGTATTTCGACCCTATTCTTGCCTGGGTTCACGAAATCTTTGTGGGGATAATTCTCGAAGAACAATCTGTTTCTGGCAAAAGAAACTGATTACAAATATAGAGAGAAAGTGACGTTTTTCCGTTTTGAAACCGAGACCAAATGACTCCTTATATAGGAGATCAATAACTGAAACCGAAAAGACACACCTGTTCGAAAAACGGTTATGTCGGTTGAGAAAAAGGATTCAAAGCCAGGGGCTCCGTCCCTTGGACCCCAACGGGGCGCTGCCCTGCACCCCGCCAGGGGCTTCGCCCCTTGGAACCCCAACGGGGCGCTGCCCCGTACCCCGCCAGGGGCTTCGCCCCTTAGAACCCGGTTTCAATTATTCATATTCAATTATGCATTGGCTCGACGAGCGTGCACTCCGCACTTCCCTAACTCGTTTCCGAACTTAACGCATAATTGCATCGGTCTTTAGTAAATCACATTACTACTAAAATACATTGGTGATACTAAAATCACCAACATAAGCTCTTTAGGAAGTTAATGTTTTAACAGGTTTTGAGTAAGATGAAACAATATTGCATAATTAAGAAGTGTGAGAATCTTCTAGATTGACAGACATAGCACAACAACTTTGAGCAATGAACAATTTGTATTACATATTCTATGTTTCTCTTTAATTTTGTTTCACAATTTCCTCATATTCTCGCATTTGTGCGTCATCCTTGAAGAGGATTTGCAAATCAAACTCTCTCTCCTTTATCTTCAACTCTTCCACCTTCAAGTTCTTCATCTTACTCTCAAAAGTTTTCTTCATCTTCAATTTATTCTCCTTCAACTTGGACTCAATCTCTTTCATCACCAACTCTCTCACCTTCAGTTTGGTTTGTTCATCAATCACACATTTTTGAAGTTACCTCAACATTAGAGGAAGATGCTTCACTCACTTTTGAGTTTTGAGTTTGTCTTTCTTTTACTTCAACCACATGTACAAGTCTTTTTGAATTGTCATTGATCAACAAAAACATTACTAGAAGACCTCAAAACTAAGTATTGACTCTATGCAATAGTCAACAATTCAAAATTTTTTTGTCCAAAATTAAATTAGATATCTTATGTGTGCAACTACATAGAGCTATAGACTAAAGTGTTTCTTATATAACTGCATAGACGAAATCTTTTATTAAAAAAATTTAATATTATTGTGTGCTCAAAATTGAGTTCGAACTAATGACATCTAATTAACTAATGAGAAAACTCAATTTTTTTTTAATCCTTATAAAAAAAGTTAAAAAAGAAAACAAGGAAAATAATGAGAATTGAAAAATACAAAAAAAAAACCCCTCCGAAAAACCCTTTCTTTGCGTTCAATTTCTTACACTTCATCTCGAAACCCTAGCCGTGTAAAAATTAAGGTAGCGCTAATTTCTCCAATGGCTTCTCGTTTCCGATCATTCTCACAACCCGCATTTTCCCTAATCAAATCCACCATATCAAAACCCAAATCCTCCTCACCTTTTCTCCTCAGAACCCGCACTCCCGTCACCGTCAGGCAAGTCCTCATCATCGCATTACTTCTTTCATTTCTTTCAATTTAACGGAATCTTAATTTTCACCGTTCTTTCTCCGTTCAGGTCCGTCGCGGAGCTTGGTTGCGTGCAGTCGCTGCTTCCGTTATACTCGGCGGTTTCATCAGCGCGCCTCACTTCTTGCCTCGGAATCGATTCGACGAGTTCGAGATCTTTGTCTCAGGGTATGCTTTGCAGTGCCAACCCCGGAGTTTGATTTCTCTGATACTTTTTATCTCCTTTTGTATCTGTAAGCATATTGCAACTTTCACTTGTTATGAAACGAATTTAAACTGATTTTGTAGTGTTTTTTAGTTGGATTGGTATTTAAGTTTGTTTTCAGTTGAAATTCTTTGCCAATGCCGTGTTTTAGTTATGTGGTTAGGTTAATTTAGTCCAAATTTGTTGGTGATTTTGTTTGGATTGATGGAATGGAATCGGATGATGCTAAATGAGATGAAATGATATTCCTTCTCCTCTGATTTGTTCCGTCCTAAAATTTTCAAATAATGGAATGGTATCTTCGTTCTGCTCCATTCCACTCCGTGCGTTCCATTCCGTTCCATTTATTTCATAATATCCAAACATAGTCTCAGGTATGTTTGGATCTATGGAATTAGATGGAATGGAGAGGTATGAGATGGAATGAAGTGCTATACATTGTTTGCATAAGTTAAAACGGATGGAGCGAAGCGAAATGGGATGGAATTGATTCCATTCCATCACTTACTGCCATAGCCCATATTTCTTTCTTCCCATCTATTTGGGCGGAATGAAAAACTGACCTTGTTCCGTCCTAAAATATACAAAAGATGGAATGAAATCTTCATTCAGTTCCGTTCCATTCATTTTATGATATCCAAACATATCCTCAAAGGTCATTGTCATATTTTGCTAAATTTATTAGTAACATATAGTTTGATGAAGTGACATTTGTTTTAGGCTCCTTTTGAAATTATTTGTACATTGTCTAAGAGAAAGAAATGCCAAGTTGCATGTACCGTTCTGTTTTTACCATGTTCTGTTTTAAATATTTTCTGAAGAGAAACGAACATATATTTGCATTTTTGACTTGAAAATGATGTTGAATGTTCGCTGTGACCCTGACTATGTTGTAATCCATGACTCAGTGCCTGTTTGGATGAGATTATTTGAGCTTATCTACTGCCTACGTTTTGTGACACTGTTTGGGAGATTTAATCATAACAACTAATGACGTATTTCATTTTTTTGAACTTATTTTTATAAATTCTTTAAGGTAGATGATGAAAACAACTTATAACATATATAAAAACAATTTAAATTGATTTTATCTTTTGTTATAAAAATAGCTTATGCAAGCTTGTTCATAAGAACTTATTTTGATAAGCTCTTGTGCTATAAGCTGCAAATAAGCCGTTTATTCGCACAGACCCTTAGTCATTGTGAACGACTGATAGTTAATCGAGAGTAAATATGGAATTCTTTTGTGTAAAATACTGGCTTCAATGAAATTTGTATTGAGAAAACAAAATTTCAGCCTAGAAATTGTGATGGTTTGTTCTCTTTGTAGTAATACTATATGTGCTTTTAATTCTGTTATGTAGTTTTAGGTGTGTTTTTTACTTCTTTGAACTGATACAAAATCTCTAACTTTATGATCGAAGAATAATGCTAATATATTGAAACTATGTTTTGCTTGCAATTGCTTGTTATGTCGAATGCCTGTAAAGGTATTATTTTGTTATATTTTTATCAAAATATTGAGAATTTAGAAATTATAACACAAATGCCCTGCAAGGATTTGGCAAGGCTTCAAAAGAATCGAAATAAATAGTGGAATGTAGAGTGAAAAAACACAGCAATATTTTGGGTTTTTCTGAAAGTATTAAAAAACACTTTTTCTTTTCATATTTTTTATTTTAGGAAAAAAATGTAAATAACCCAAGTAAACAGTCCCTTTATTTGTGAAAATTTTAGTTAGATGCTTCAATACTGCACAATTGAATAACGGCTAATTTGATGAATGGTTAGTTTAACCAATGATTACTTTTAGTATCTACTAATTTCACAAACATCATTACAGAACATAATTTTGTACCTTATCTAATTAAGTTACATTACATAAGTAATACTGTTTTTTTTTATATGGGAGCCTTATGTTTCTATGATGAAGAGATAGTGAAATGGTCTGTTCCTCCTTCAGATGCAGCTCTGCTTAGTTGCTCACCCTTTCGAAGCTTTATTGTCACTCTCAAGCTTAACCAAAAACCAACTGCTAAGGTTTCATATGAACATAATCTGTACCTAGATGGTATTATTAAAATTTGATATAGATGAAATAGGCCACATGTGGAGCAGTAATAAATTATTATTTAGAACATGATCACAGCTGTAATTAATAGCATTGCATTTAAGTTTCATATATTGGAGTTGGAAATTGTTATATGTGTATGATTTGTAAGTAGATTGGCATATACCTGAATCAATTTTAAATCTTGGGCACTAAAATATTATTCTAATCAGTTTACTTTGTGTATAATTACGGTGCTTGTTTAGACTTGTTATACTTTGTAGTCTACTTTTCATAGTTTTGCTTCACTACTAAAACTTAAGCATTTCTTTTAGTGCATACTACCTATGCATTCTTCGCAAGCACCTCTAGATGACATCTATCTTTTGCTTGTAATTCATTTGTTTCATCTAAGGGTCCATCTGGATCAACAAAGGGGAGGGGAGGGATTTTTATGGAAGAGAGGGAAGGGAAGGAGAGGATTTTAAAATATGGCGCGTTTAGTTCTATGATGGGAGGGATTTTAATGGAGGGATTGAATGAAATTATATTTTTTATCCTCTAAATGTATAAGTCACATTAACTATAAGGCTATTAAAGTCAAAATGTATACAATTACTCCCTCCCCTCCGAATTTCCCCTCCGAATCTCCCCTTTTTGGAGGGGAGCAAAACTTGACTTTAGAGGGATTTGAATCCCATCCCTTCCCCTCCTCTCCCCCTCTCTAAAAATTGATCCAAACATCTAAATCTTAAAATAATCCAGCTCAATTCACTGCTACATCATGCTTGGCAACATATGTTTTTGTTTTCAATGCATTTAATCTTTTTACATGTTCGTTTCAAATACCATGTAGCGACAATATATAATAATTGTCATGATTTCACTTTGTAGTCAATTCTGTTGTGCCAGGTATATGTTTGTTTGTGTTGATCATGTCACGTGCTTTACTTAATCATTCTCTTGCACAAGAAACTTATTTGGCCTTAATTTGCTAATGCTTATTTTATTTTTTTGTTCAAATTTCCTCAGAAATGGGTCTTGGCACACCGCGATAATAGATTTGGAAGAGGTGATTGATGGACTAGAGTAATCATCACTTGCTCTGCTAGGATGCCCTTTTGTTAATTATTTCGAAGTTTCTTTGAAAGATCATTGTAACGGGTATGTAATTGGAAGAATCTTTCCATCTTCTATTACAAGTTAATGATAATTTTATAATGGTTTATCATTTCATTTTAATTGTTTCAAAATTCAAACATCGTCAACCTGACTTGGTGAATAAAATCAATTTTTCACTAATTGACGTTGTTGTCATGTCTTCTTGTGCATGTTATTGAATATGCTAGCTACTTTTATCTAGAATCAATACATTACTTTGACAAAAACTTTTTTATAGTTGTCTTTGTAAAATTATATTAAACGTGTTTTAGGCATTGAGTATGTCGATGTAAAAAGGTTGGGCTCAAGGATGTAAAAGAAGATTGGTTATTGAAGTGTCGAGGACATCACTTTCATATTCAATGGTAAGTGTGATTAGGGGTCTGATTGGATAAACAACTTATTTATTGCTTATATAGCACAAATGCTTATCAAAATAAACGCATATGAATAAGTTCAAATAAGCCATTTTTACAAAATTATATATATGTTTGTATTTACGGTTTATGGTTAAGTGATGAAAACGGTAAATGCGAAAAGTAAAGGTCACCAAAAATTTATACTAGTTTCTCTCACAATCCGAGAGTAGGTTTATTCCTCTTACCACATGTAAGAGATTTTATTACTATTAGATCTTATGGATAAGACTCTCTGGTCTTCCTATACAAGACTCTAACTAAATCACCAAGAACAATCCTGTTGTGACTTTACACACTTATTTCCAACAATCCTGGACAATAAGCAAAGACTCCTACAAAAAGATACAATCCACCTTCTTAAAGAATCCTTGAAGTACCAAACAATTCTTGATACTTAGGTATTTGTAACATATACAATGATTTGAATATGATGAAGTTTTTGTGATAAGTGGTTGTTGTTGTTGTTGTTTTTTCCCCTTCAATTTCTATATAGAAACTTGGTCTTCTATTCTGATGGATGATTCAAGAATAACACACAGGCATGGCACAAAATCCATACCCGCGGGTACCCACCTGAACCTGCCCTGAAGTTGACGGGAAAAATCCGTTTTGACTGAGTTTGGGTTTTTCCTGATTACACAATATGGGGATGGATCGGGTAATGAGGACACTAATACCTATCCCGAACCCGTCCCGTTAATTTTATGTATATTATTATGTATTTTTGATAATTTAGAATATTAAATATGTGGCTAATATTTTGATAATTTGTTTTGTATTTATTATCTAAAATATTTGAAATGTATGTATGTAATTTTTTGAGATTATTTTATTTTTTAATTATAATGTAATTTAATTTTACAAAAAATAAATATTTTTATTAAAAACATTGATTTTACTAAATGGATGGTGACAAGACAGAGATATCCGAACCCAACCTAAACCTGTTTGGGACGAATTTGAGTTTTAATTCCCCAGAGGAATTAGGGTTTTGATTTAATCAGGAAATCTCTGACTTTTTGGGCATGACTTGATTTCATGCTTCTTTACATGTTCATGAGCACCTATGATTGAAGAATTGATCATAAATTTTGGTTGAAAGGGGTTCAATTGATTAATTGGTGGTAAAATAGTCATCTGAGCAAAAGTCAATAAAAGTCAACTGTTGATCAAATGGACTTATGGTCAAAGTTGAGGTCAATGATCATGTTTCAAGATCACATGGCCTATGAGTTAAGAAATTCAAGAGAATTATGTATTTTGAAGTTGACTTGTTCATGAAGGTATCTTGGTGAAATTTGAAATTTTGCAAGTATGAAAACTCATTAGGCTGAAATTCAAAAATTCATAACTTCTTCATTTTTTTATTGAAAAAATGCAAACCTTACATTCTTAAAAAGAGAGAGAAAAATTCTACAATCATGTCATTGAGGTATTGTGCCCAAAAAATGAAGAGAAAATGAGTTATGATACTTAGAAGTTCTGGCCACATAAAAACACTTAACAAATTTTCAAGTTATGAGCTCAAAATGTCAAAACTTGATAGTCATTTTTAGGATTTCATTTAGACTCAAATAAAAAACTTCCAAACATTAAATATGAAGTTTAGAACTTATTCTTCGACTTTGATTCAAGGATCATCTCATTTGGTGCATTATGGAGAGAGATATAATGATTAGGTTTTGGTGTCTTAAAGCTACAAAATTGCCCAACATGAAAAGCCCATGCGCGTGCCAGACCTGCATTTTTATCAAACACCTGCAAGGCATAGGTTCATGATGAATTTTCGCCATGATTAAGGCCATGTTTGCATGAATGATCAACATCAATGTTGAAGTTTTAACTTCCCTTTGCAACTTTGATTCAAACCTTGATGCATTTGGTGCATTATTGAAGGAGATATTGTATTTTGATTTCAAGGGTTCAAAGTTGACAAGTGACTAGTCAACTCTTCGTAAAATTCTGGATTTTTGCAATTAGGTTCAAGTGAGCAGATTCATGGCTATTTTACTTTGTGAACAAGGTTGTATCTCAACATCAACACAACATCAAAGATGTTCTATGTTGTATGCTCTTTCTCATGATGGTAGGAACATATCATTGAGTGCACTATCAAGAAAGTTAGAGGCTCAAAAATCCGTGCACATGAAATATACACTATTGCTCAAATTTAAGAAGTTCCTAAAGCATATAAATCAATAGTGATGCCATGATTTCAAGAGTAAATTAAATGGAGTGTGGAGGTTTGTCTTAATTCACTCTCAACATGAAAGATGATGCTTGGTGTTCAAGCTTTTCAATGACGGCAAGTTCTCACTTGGAGGAGGTTTGTAGGTCAAGATATGAGTTCTCAAAGCAGGTCAAGTGGACACGGTTTTGAGCTGTAAAAACTTTGCAATTTTTGAGCTATCACGAATTACAAGTCATTTCCTTCTGGTCAGACCCCATACATCACTCTTTTTATTCCTTTTAATTACTCAAAGTGGCCAGACAACATGGATATATTGCATGTACACACATTTTTCACCCTTGGCCAAAAAGATAATATTTTCTCTCTACAAACTTACTGCACCTCCATTCTCACGTGACATTATCCATCACACTTCTCTCAAGCTCATTTTCTCACTCAAAATGCACCATCTCACTATCTGAAACAACATAAAATGCAACCACTTCATTGGTTTCTTTTTCCACTCAACTTGCTCACCAAGTTTGATTGAACCATGGTTAAACTTTTTAACCTCACTCTAACTCATTCCTTATGCTATTTAACCACTCCTCGTTCTTTTATTTTGGGGACTCATTTTTGGATACACACTAAAGGCACGAAAGAGAGAGAAAGAATATATGGTTTTTTTTCTTTAAAAGTTGCTATCGGGTTCTATTTTTTTCTCCAAGACCTCTTCATTTTAATGCTTAGTCTCATTGATTTGGAGCTATAGGATCATTATTCTCTGGATTTCTGAAGACTATCATGAGAAAGAATAAGCACCACGTTTAAACTTCATGACCTCTTATTCTCATGCTTGCATCCTTAGATCTAAATATTGCATAATATTGTAAACATGTTCATCAGCATTTAACTGAGCCATACATTAGGTATGAGATGTGTTGCTGGAAGTATCTTTGCATTTATTTTGTTGTTTGAAATTTTGGAAAAATGTGTAAATCAGGGATGTTCGTGCTTGATTTTCTCTATGATTGCTTGATCATTTGATTAAATTTAAGATGCTATGATAATGTGCGTTTTGTGTACTTCAATTTTAGTGTTTACGATTTTCGATTTCATTAAGAAATAAGGGAGTTATGAGGCTCTGAAACTAGTTTACAAAACATTTTGATAAAATCGTCTTAGGGTTTCACTGACAGGGACGATGAGGTGTCAATTTGTGATTTAGTATGGCTAAAACGTTTTGCAATGTTTTTTTCCTTATAATAGGTGTTATAGATCTGATTATATTTTTGAATTTCATTTCATTTTAATTGTTTTATCAATTTTATTTTTAATGTTTTCACTCATATAAAAATTACCAAAAAATACTCCAAGTCTCTTTTTTAGTCTATTTTCTGAATATAATTTTTATTTTATTATTTTTATATTTTTGCTTAACCAAAAAATTCGTGTACATTAATTAGTTGTCTTGTTCATTATTTCAATACTTGATTTTATTTTCTAATTTCTATTAATCTAAAAAATATAAAAAAGTATCTTTCATGTCTTTTGATGTTCAAAGATGATTATGATATTTTCTATCCATTTTTATTTGATTGTTTGTTTGATTTAAATTTTTTTTTTAAGATGAACATATATTTTGGTCTTTTTCTTGCTTAGGTTATAAGTTTCACCTTCATTTCTTATCTTTATTTGATATGAAAATTCCAAATTAATTCGTGGATGTTAGTTGATGTGTTTAGACACTAAAAATGATTTTTCTATAATTTTCCATATTGATTTTGTCACTGTTTAAAAATTGTTTGACAAATATGCTTCAATGAATGTCTTTTATGGCTAGTTTTTAAACTTTGATTTAATTTTGAATATTCCAGTGACATAAATATATGGAAAAATATGTTTGACATAATTTTTTTTTTGTTAATGTCATGATAAATTTTTATTATTTTTATTTTACATTCTGGTATTTTTTATCCCTTTTATGGTGAAATGTGTCTAGTTTGGCTTTGTTTATAACTAGTCTTGCTATTTGAATTTTATTTTCAAATTTTCCTTGATATGAAAAATACGAAAAAATATGTTGATACTCAGGGATGTTTTATGATGCTTGGATAATTTTATCCCATTTTTTCTGATCAATTTGCTTTCATTTAAAAATTATTTGTTAAGTGTGTTTGTTTGGATACCTTGTGGAGCTAGTCACCATCTTTTAATTCCACTTTCTATTTTTCTTCAACTTTGAATGTGTGGTAATACTTGATTCTGACTTGTGATGATTTTAAGATGCTTTAAATATTTTTGTTTGAGTTTATTGATCCTTTTGCTTATATTTATTTGATGTAAATATTGTATGTGATCATTGTTATTTTGGTTAACATTTGGAGCCACATTGTTGAGTTCCTTTGTGAATTTACCCATGATTTGGGAATTATAAGTTCAAGAATAACCCCTTTGGGGTTTGATAATCAATTGACCTCATTAGATCAATTTTTATCTATGATTTTTATGTTGAACTGTTGCCTTACTAGTTTGAACTTATTTCTTTTTTGCTTGAGATACAAGGTATGTGCTTGTGCAACCTATAAGGAACCAAGTTCCTTCTTCTTTCTCATATTCTCATTAGCACGTGTAGAGCCTTTAGTTAATGTTTATTAACCATTCAAGTGCTCTAACATCTCACCTTTGTTTAGAGGCCTTTTGCTTATCTTTTGTGATCATGGTTTA